GGCTGAGAACCTGGTCCCTGTTAGGAAAGGACTCCACATGTTGTCCTATTTTATAGAATAAAACATGAATTTGTGTTTTTATCTGCTGTTAAATAATATTGCCTTATGGATAGACATGTCCATATCCATAGTTTTACCAAAACAATCAGAAACTTTTTAATAATCAAAGGTCATAATTCGGTCCTTCTTAAGTCAAGCAGACCAGATCAAGCAGATAAAGAGTGGAAATATTGAATACTCGGTGTTTTCGAAAAGGGAGCAAAATATTTGAACTATAAACTCCTTTTAATCTAAAATTAGGGGTTAGTTTGGGAAAGACTGCTCAGGGCTTCTTTTCTTTTTCTCTTTTTTCCATTACAGAGCACATGACAGGGACTTATGAAACATCATCTGACTCATCTGAGCCGCGCTTATCTGAAAAGAGCCCCTCGCTGTCACTGAAACACGCAGAAATCCCGATTACACCAAGATATGGAGATATGTCTGAAGTCCTGGAGCCAAGTGGGAGAAAAAGCTGCGTCAGGGACCGAAATCTTTCGAATGCTCTCCAAGTTACACGCAGAGTTTCCTGTTGGACGAGAGCCTCTGCCAGTATTTTCAGTTCGAATTCCCTGCAGCTATTGAGGCGAAATTACATGTTCAACAGCTCAGGAAGTGACAATAAAAGTCAGCAGAGCACTTTCAAGTGAACGGCCCTCTGAATAGTTTCCGTCTCTCAGTAAAGAGCCAGATTATGCCATCTCTGAATGTCTGCGCCCAGAAAGCTGCTGACTTCTCCACTCTCTCGATAAGACGCTGGCTTCTGCCACTCTCAGCCTGAGACCCGTGGAAAAGCCTCCACGTTCTCTCTGATCATTACCACAAAAGCTTTGCAGCTCGACTGAACCGCACACAGGACTTTAAATGGTTTTCATGGTCTCCAGCTGCAGAGATTAGCCTCCCCCCTGTCAGCCGAAACGCAAACCCCTCACACTAAAAACCAAAATGACACGACTTTACTATCCATGTCAGATACAAACTGTGTAAAGAAGCGCTCCAATGCTCATAAGAAACACCAAATAAGCAGACGAATATAAGCTGAAAGAGTACAGGATCGGCCGTTTTAAATGAATAAAATGCTTCTTAACCACATGGGAAATGCAGTGAACAAAATCAGGGAATCTAAGCAGTTGTAGTGATTAGATGCCCAACGCTGCCCCCCCTCAGAGAACCACTCAGCAGGCTGGTACCTGCACATCATTAAGTGGCACATGCCGGTGAACTTAATTGAATAACAAACAGGGAAAATAAAACCACACGAGTTCCTCGGGGGGGAAAAAAAAAAGAGCCAAACCGCAGCTCCCAATGAGCAGGGGAGGTTGCTACACGTTGGCTGGAGGAGTTTGCAAACATGTTCCCTCCACTCACTCCATATCTTTATGGTAAAATGTCAATTCAGAGTTTAATTGCGGGAGAATTTAGATGGGAGATCAATTTGGTGCTGGGGGGAACCCTGGACCAGTCCGTCCATCACTGGGACAAACACAGACCAACATGATCAGTTTAAACATGCCTTCAAGTCTGAGCAGAAAAAAGAAAGAAACAAAAAAGAAACAAAAACTGCTGTCTGAAATATCTGTAGATTAAATCGCTCGTTACAAGAATCTGAGCCTTTCTGCTTCGGCTGTGCTGATCCGCTTTGAGGAGGAATGTAAACATTTGTGGTTGAAGTTCATCATAAGAGTGGGAAAAAAACACAACAAAACAGCAAAAAAAAAGCAGCCTTAAAAGCCTCTGGTGCGTTTAGGGGAGCAGACCTTAGCAACCAAACCCAGAACCGCACCATGTCCTCCTTCCTGAAGGCCTTCTGGGAGTCTCAGAAGATTTAGATAGGAGCAGGAAACTTACTCAAATCAGATTTTTTTTCCCGTGGGAGAGGAGAGAAACATGGCCCATTTCAAAGTGGTGACACAGCACTTGAAGGGCTGATAATGGAAACCGGGGCGGTCCGTTTCCACCGCCTGTCCTCGCTTTAAAGGCCTCGGTGAGAACGGACAGAGCCGAGGGAAGAAAGTTAAGATGAGCAGAGCAGACTCTTTCCACTATCGCCTAACTTCTAACACGGGGCCTGGTCCCTGAAAATAGCCGATATCTGGCTGGGGAGGGGGCCGGCCTTCCCATCAAAGTCCCACCTAATGAGCTCCTAATAAGGGGGACGCCTACTTTGCACGTATGTGCTCATTTCCTGCATGAACCAACCGCAACGAGCTCCTCATCGGGAAATAAGTCACAGATCGCTTTTAGAAACACATTTCGGTTTCAAACACAGAATGAGGGGGTTTCCAATAAACCTAAAAATGATCATATACGGCATTACCATCACTTAGAAATACGACGTACTGAATAGTCAGTCTAAGTCAAGAAGAATTTAACGCGGCTGAATTAAACGAATTAAGCAGCTGATTTAAAACTACATTTAACTTTTCTGCTCTCTTTAACAGTACATTTGTACATATATTTGTACTGTTAACAGGAAGCTGACCAAACAATACAGGGTGTAATATCACTGAGTTTGTCTCCTATACGATATATTTAACTGATTTTTTTTATCCTAAGAACCAATGATTTATGAAGGAAAATCATTGAAATTAACAAGGTTGCCCAAACTTTTGCAGACCACTGTACAGTATATATATATATATATATTTTTTTTTTTCTCCACGTCTTCTCAGTTATTTAAAAAATCGGAAGCCCGAATTCTGCCTCCATCTTTTAGCCTAGACTGGGATGGGTCGGAAGTTCACATGCAGTAAAAAAAAACAGGGGCCTGTGTAAAAGTTTAAGAAGTTCAGTTGTACCTCCTCCAATTTTTCCTCTCCCTTTTTATCCTATGGGGCTCAGACTGCTCTGTATTGCTGTAGTGCATGATTCCACTGTGTAAGAATGTATGACGACATGCAGCACAACGCCTAATTTAAACGATTTCAACAAAAACGCGTCATCATTGGGCAGAAAAACAGCGTCCAGTACTTTGTTATGCACAACACACCCATTTGAGCTGTTAAAGTCAGTGAGATCACATCTGTTTTTCTGTTTAAATAGGTACTACTCTTATGTTTTTGCCTCTAAAAAGACGGTTTTATTAAATCCTGCAGCAGCAGCGTGTGCAACACATTAGCTGACGCAGTCTATAGCTGAGCATTGTGTCTCTAAATCCAATTTAAAGTGTGGCTTAATTCAGTTTCAGCTTCACAGTGAGCATCCCGGTGGGTGAGGGAGGGGAGTTAGCATCTGAGGGTGATTCAGTGGCATTAGGGGCCGTCACCATAATGAATCCCACAGCACTGCGGCACGCTGTAAACACAGATGTCCACAGTTTTAAACCATCACTCACGAAAACCATGCGATGATCGGGAGATTGTGGGCAGTTTGTTTGACTTATTGAACGTTCTCTTTTTAGAGGAAATAGAGGAGAAACTTTCTGTTCAAGCCTGCAGTTTGGAAAAGGTTAAAGTTTTGCATGGTACATTGAAATTCATGCTCAAAATTAAAATAACATTATAAAAAACAACACAAAACTACATTTGCTGCAGTTTGTGAGGCCACATTATTTTTTTTATCACTGAAGAAATATTTATTTTCTTACTGAAAAGCACAATCTTATATTTCTATATTATATATTTCTGTGTTTTTTAAGCTTTATGTCTTCTCACAGTCAAACTTATGCAAAATAGAAAAGAAAAAAAGTTTCCCCCATTTTTCCACCACCTCAAATCCCACAAACATCAGGTTTGCTCAAGAAAATGGGATTTTTCATTTCTTTTTCATGATTAAGACAAGAGGAAATCCTGATCCTGATGCTGTAGATGCAGCCCAGATCATCGTCCCTCCCCCACCGTGCCGACAGCTGCTATGGGATGTCTGCGTTTGGTTTCTGTGGCTTCTGAACAAACGTCTCTACTCTGCTTTGCCCTTTTGTTCCAGAAGTCCTTCAGAGCAGCAAAACAAACCTCACACTGACTGATTACCAGCTCCTGGCAGCTGATTACCCTTTAAACAGTTAGAATGTAGCTTTCCACTTGTTCTGCATCTTAAAACAACCATTTAAAGTCAGGAACTGTTTGCGGTAGGTTATGTTAACGAGTTGTTAGACTGTCAGCTAACAGATTTGTTCATCTGTTTGTTTACTCATGCAACGCGACCACCCAGAATCCCCTTCTCCGCTTCTTCAGGTGAACGTTTCTCCCACCAGAGGAGTTTGTGAGCCTCAGATATTCATAAATGAACCTATCCAGGTCACTGAAAGACTTTGTGGTCTTCAACAGGACAGCAGACTCATTTCAGTGAGCTTCTTTAAATGACAGGTGGCCTTTCTCCTCTTTTTTTTTTACATTTTATGTTTCAGCTTAGACCCTCTAAATCTAAAGCCTCTCATACAGTAAAAACAAGAAAGCTCAGCCTAAAAACACAAAGAACATCTTTAGGAACTTTACTGTATCTATCCGATGTTTGAAGGATGTCAGATCTGAAGCTTCTTGCTAGAAATATCATAAAATCTGCTTTGCAGGCTCAACCAGATCCAGATTAAAACAACCCCGTTCATATTAAACATCTTAAACTTATATTAAATCTCTGTCTGATGAAGATCCTATCCTCCAACTCCTCACTGTTCGTCCCACTGAAACAGCATCTTTGAAAGTACAGGCTGCAAATCTGCGTGGAAGTTTAAAATATTAGTTAAGTTTACCTTTACTAACCGATTTCTAAGAAAAACACAGGAAGGATTTAGAAGAACTGTGTTCTTTACTTCCGACAGAAACAGTTTATGATTATCTTTCAAAAAAGTTTTAATAGTCTATCATTTTGGACCTGAGCTGTAATTTTTTTTTTTTTTTTACATTAAGAGTTTGTTTTTATCTTACAATGACACATTTTATATGAAAAAAAAAGCCATCTGTACAAAAAGTTCTGTTTCTTTTTCTGTTTTACATGCATAGGTGAATTTTATAAGTTCTAAATCATAAAACCAGCCCTGCTTCTTTTTCCTTTCCCGTTTTATGTCTCCTGTGATTATGAATATAAATGGTTACTGATCAAGTCATTTTAATTAGACCGATCTGTTTAGAAATCTAGAAATGAGGAAAAAGGCACACGTGCTACGTATTTTGCTCTGAATTGGGTGAAAGATATTGCAGGATCCTGCAGAAAGCCTAAAGTCCCCTGAGGGGCTCGCTGAAAAGGTCAAAGATGTGGAAGAAAACTTTTTTAATCACTGAGGGACAGAAAGTGCTGAAGTCAAACAGAAAGACTTGAGGCTTTACAGAAAACCACATAATCTCTCATTAAACTGCACATCTGCTGAAGCATAATGCGACTTATTTTTCCTACCGGAGCTTTTTCTGAGGATTTCTAACCTCCAGAACTGTTTGTGGCATGTTTTTTTTAAAGGCTTTTGATAAAAGAAAGCAGCAGAAATCTTACATTTTAGTCATGAAACGACTCAAAACATGGCACCGGGCTGAAATCCTGCATGATGAGATTAAATCCACTGCTTTGTTAACAGCCATCAGCTGACGGGTGACGCTGCTAAACTGATAACGCGACCCTTGTGATGCGCGCCCAAACAACAGCCAAAAACTTTAAGAGGGCTCCCAGCTCTGGAGCTGAAGGGGAAATTACATCAGGAGGCGGACTGTGGCCAGGAAACGGCACAATAACGGACGGGACAATGACAGGCGTCTGGAGCAGATCAACAAGTGTCTCGCCTGAGTTCTCCTTTTTTCCCCCGTCTGACGGCGCATTTTCTCCCTCGTATCGGAAAAAAAAAAACCTTCCGGGAGCCGTTAATCTGATGGCAGGAATGTTAAACGTTAAAAGAATAGTAAGGCAGATCGTCGCTCACCTTTTTGAGCCAGGAGAAGTGCCTGTAGAAGTCAATGGGAGCCTCCATGGTCCCGGCCCATCCCTGCCGTTTCCCTTCTGCGTTTGTCGGACTGTGTGTGTCGGTGTGTGTGTGTTTGTGTGTGTGTGTGTGACAGCAGTGGTGAAGTCAGGGGCCTCTGTGGCATGTGGGATCCGTCATGGAAGTCTATGTGTCTCTGTGTGTGTCTGTGTGTGTCTTCACAGCTGTGAAGGAGGGCTTTTACGGACTCTGCCTCCTTAGAGGGACGACTCCCCCCGGCTCTGCCCCCCCCCCCACCCCTCCGCCCGCCCTCCTCCTCTTCTTTTTCTCTCTCTTCTTTCCCCTCCTCACTCTCCACATTCTTCTCCTTCACTCTAATTTACACTCGCTGCCTTTCTCCCCCTCGTTTTCCTTCTTTTTTTTCTGAAGTCCGTGCGACGGCCAAATGGCCGAGGCCAGGGAGGGAGGGGGATTTGGGGGGAGTTTTTTTTCCCCTGTTTCCCCCTCCTCTCTCTGTCATCTGTTTGTGCCTAAACTTTGGCCCAGCTGATGTCGAAGACGCCCACAAAGCAGCAACAGGCGGAGAACGGGCCATTTTTCTGCGTTTCTGTGGGGCTGGAAGCCTTCAAAGGCTCCAGGAGCCTCCTGCCCCCCCCCCCCCCCCCCCCCCCCCCCCCCCCCCCCCCCCC